TCTATCATCTATCTATCTATCTATCTATCATCTATCTATCTATCTATCTATCTATCTATCTATCTATCTATCTATCATCTATCTATTTATTGTCTTTTTGAGACAGGATCTTCCTGTAGCCCCAGCTGGTCTGGTGCTCACGATGTAGACCAGGCTGGTCTTGAACTCACAAGAGATCTACCTGCCTCTGCCTCCCAAGTGCTAGGACTAAAGGTGTGCACCACCACACCCGGCTGTTGCTTTACTCTTAACAGAAAAAAAATATATGTATATATCACTGCAGACGTTAGTGTAGCAAATTGTGTGATTCTGCCTGACACGAAGCCCTGAGAGCTGGTGCAGAGTTAGCCTTGATGATGTAGAGAAAAACCTTGGTGACACAAGACAAGTCCTGGGCCAGGAGCCAGAGAACTTGCCCAGCGGCCTCAGGTGATCACACACTCAGGAAGCCTCTGTTTTCTGTTAGAAAAAAGACAGCAACCCCACCAGCTCTCCCCAGTGATCAGTGCAAAGCTCAGAGCTGATGCGTAAGGAAGTATTTAGTAGCTGTGCATGGCAGATCATACCTGTGATCCAAGCACTGGGGAAGCCGAGGCAAGTGGATGATGAATTTGAGACCAGCTTGAAGCTACATAGTGAGACCCTGTCTGAAAAATGAAGAAAGGGCTGGGGGTGTCGCTCAGCTGGTGAACTGCTTGCCTAGCATGCACAAAGCCCTAGGTTCGATCCTCAGAACAGCATAAAACCAGACATGGTGATATGTGCCTATGATCCCAGCATAGGTTAAAGGAAGAAATTCAAAGTTACACTCAGTTATAAATTGAGTTGGAGGTCAACCTGAGCTGCATGAGACTCTGTCTCAACAACAACAAAAGCAGTTTAATAAAATAAACAGGACGAAAGACAAAGTATTTTAAAATATGAGGTCCTTGAAGATTGTCCACACCTCTCCAAATGCATGCTCTGTGCTCCCTGGAACTAGCTCAGTCCCTACCACTTTGAACTATACTGTCTAATGGAGAGCATCTCTACTAGATAAACTGACGTCGTCTCAAAGGACTTTACTCTCCATGCACCGAATGAGAAGCTTGCAAATTGCCCTACTGCTCTATAGCTGTTTAATAGAACTGAGTATATGGCAGCCATCACTCAGCCCCCAGCACAGGGCAGAGAGCCCCAATGCTGCTTCGCTCCCACTTCCCACATCCCATTGATGGTCACATTCTCTCCCTTCCATCTTCTAAATGTTTGTCATTCATATGCATGCCGTCCACGCCTACTTCTGCCATCAAGATTGAGTTAGCATCCTCTTCTGCTGGAAACAAGTCCTTCTCACCTGTCTCTGAGCCTTCACTCCTGGGCCCCTCCTTCTGGAATTTACTCAATCCTTGAACTTCCTGCCTCCATTTCCTTTGGGCCTACCTTTATGTATTGCCCTCTCAATAAAGCCTCTTGGATGTTCAGATGAGGTTGCGTCCCTCATTTGACAATTTCCATGCACATTTTTCTCCTTCACAGAGCCAGTTGCAACAATTCTTAATTAATATGGAATTACTGGCATAATGTCTGACTTCTCTACTTCCCTGTTCCCAGATGCAGAATGCTGCTGAGCTCAAGAGTATCCAATAATAATTACTGAACAAACACTGACATACAGATTTTTAATGAGCAGAAACATCAAAATGCAGTCTGAGATTCATTAAAGTCTGGAAAAGGTTTGGATATTCACAAAGTAACCTTGAATGTCGGAATAGCCTATTGGTTGACATAAACAGCACTCAGAATCCCCAGTTTCTCCAAAGCCGTTTGTGATCTGAACAGACCCCCATGCATCTCTATGCATTGGACTTCTTTCTTGACAAATAATGTAAGTACTTTTGGAGTATGCAGTCATTTCCAAAGTTGCTGAGAGATAACAGAGTCACAGTGAGGAAGCACCACATGTATGCTGAGTAGCACTGAGGGATGGGGGCGGTCACAGCACTCCTAGAGGGGCTGTGCAGAAGCAGTGGAATCTAATGAGATCCTACTGAACAGTCCCCAGTTGCTCCCTGCACAGATGAACTAGCAATGTAAGTTAATGAGATTACTTGATGTGGTAATATACACTATGGTAGGTTTTACAACTAGCCTCAGAAGTCATGCAAGTATATTAGGAAACTTCAGTTTGCCAGTGAAAATTGTTCACTAAACAAAAAGCAGTCAGTGTTTTGTTTTTAAAATTAAAACTGATTGAATCAAATTGAAAGAGTTCACCACATGCCTCACAATTGGGATTGCATCTGCCTGGAAGGCCTCTGTCAGTGGAGCCAAAGGCCTCCAATACTGAATTATTAAAGGCAGAGTAGGACATCATCCAGGATTGGAAAAGGGCTAAAGTGAGCCTTTTGTCTCTGAGTATCATTGGAAACACCAAAGTCCTTGGAAAATCTTGGGGTCTGTTTCCCTCTTGGTTTGAGTTAGAAAACCCTTATTTATGTGGGTAAAGGAGATGTTTAGAAAGAAAAGAAGGGAAAGAATACAATCAAGCCAGAGCTTCTGCAATGTTTGGTGAGGGAAGCTTGATGCTCAACACATAGTGGGGCTCAATAACTGGTGACTGACTGACATGGTAGGTAGCTCTGACCGTTGGAAGGAACATTAGAGGTAATCCAGGTTGTTACTGGCATTTGGAGCCCAGCTCCAATTCCTCATTTTGCAAGACTGCCCCTTCCTTCTCTCTCAGAACATTTGGCACTGCCAGCCTTGACCTTAAAACATGCCTACACACACACATGCCCCTGGGGGGCAGTATCTCCCCAGTGTAAAACCACCAAGGCCCAGTTCCTTCTGTGCACTCACTCATAGGCCCTAAGCGATAAAGTGATACAACCAAGGACACACAATTTTGGGGGATCAGGAGCAGTTAAGCATAATGATGTTTTGGAACAGTATTTTAATGGTGATCGATGACAAGACTGTTTCATTGCTCCAGCTGGAGGCCTCACATGGCATCTGTAACACAGATGAGAAGCTGCTTGGCCACTGCTGCTAGTAAATAGGGTATTTACTGGTTTCCAGTGATTCCCCTCCCCCCAGAACCCCCGGCCTTTTCTTCTGTGTTCATGTAGCATAAAACTATGACAAAACAACTTTCTGATAGTTTTCTGATCTCTTCTTAGTGAAGATTTTGCCCAGGTCATAAAATAGAAACATTGTAATAGCTACCTACAACTGGGACTGTTAAAAAAGAAAAGGTAGCCAGGAGTGGTGGTGCTCACCTTTAATCCCAGCACTCAGGAGGCAGAGACAGGCAGATCTTTGTGAGTTCAAGGCCAGCCTGGTCTACATAGTGAGTTCCAGGACAGCTGGGGCTACAGGGAGACCCTGTCTCAAAAAGACCAAAAAAAAAAAAAAAAAAAAGGAAAGGTAACAAAAGCCCATCTGTATTCATCTGTATTTCTGTCACTAGACTCTTTAGAAGAACTTTCTTTGAGCCCATTTCTGTATTTAAGAGGAAATTGTAAAATTCCAACACTGATCTGGAGATATAGCTCAGCGGTTAAGAGCACTGGCTACTCTTATAGAGGACCAGGATTCAGTTTCAAGCACACACATGGCCGCTAACAACCGTCCTTTACTCCAGTTCCAGGTGACCTGACTACCTCTTCTGACCTCCATGGTCACTGCAGGGCATGGGTGCACTTACACGCATGCAGGCAATACACTCATACATATAAAATAAAAACAATAAATACAATAATTAAAAAATAAAATAACAACACCAAAAGACAAGCAAATAACCATTATTTTATGACCACCCTATACTCTGAATATCCCATCTCAAAGAACATAGAAAGCACTCTGGAGCTGTGCATGATGGCAAAAGCTTGTAATTGCAGCACTCAGGTAGCAGAGGCAGGAGGATCATAAGTTCCAGGCCAGCCTCAGCTGCACAGCAAGACCCCATCATAGAAAAATACAAAATCAGAACAAAGCAAAACAAAACCAAGTACACTTTGGAACTGTTTATTGCCCTTGGATTTACATAGAGACTTCTCCTCTTAAGGATTTAAACTAATTTTATTCTCCTTAGAACATAAGACCTCACACCTGCCAGAGAGAGCTAACAACCAGCTATCTGAGTTTTTTGATAGACACTGCAACAACACACACAATAGCATGGACAAATTCTTTAAAGCATGGCATCAGTGCCGGGATTATTGTTTGAATCTTGTAGTTTTAAATGGCATTTATAGAAGGTTGCTTAGTTTATACTCATAGTTTGCAAAGAACCCTTTAAAGAAACAATGGCGGTTATCAATGTTTTAAATAAGAAACAGGCTCCTGGAGTAAAGGCAGTTTGTGTTAGAATTGGGTCTAAAATACTAGCTTCTAGACTCCGGGATCAGAGTTCAGTACACCTTAGAGAAGCTATCGGTCTATCTTCACATTGCTTTTGGGACAATAGAACATATGTGTTGCAGCATTAGTTTTTCTTCTCTCTCTTATTATTTCCACCAATTTTTGACCACCGTAATGCCTGCGGTCTTTTTTGTTTGCTTTCTTTTTTTATTATTATTATTTTTTGAGACAGTGTCTCCCTGTAGCCTCAGCTGACCTGGAACTCACCATGTAGTCCAGGCCAGCCTTGATCTCACAGAGATCTACCTGTCTCCGCCTCCCAAGTGTTTGGG